CCATTTGTTAAAACATCTCGGTTGGTATTCTGTCAATTCCTGTAGCCTTATTTTCCGACAATGCCTTCAGTGCAGCATGGACTTTTTCCTTCAGTACCATCAGTCGTGATCATATGCTACCTCTTGAAATGGTTGAATGCCAACCAGTTTTTTTGGTATAGTGACTCTGTATTCCTTCCATTTTCCCTTGATGCTTCCTGCATCGTTCAATATCTTGCCTGTAGAATCCTTCAGTATTGTAACTCGAGGCTTGAACTTTTTCTTCAGTTCTTTCAGCTTGAGAAATGCTGAGCGTGTTCTTCCTTTTTGGTTTTCTATCGCCAGGTCTTTGCACATTCCATTATAGTATTTTACTTTGTCTTCTTGAGCTGCTCTTTGAATCTTCTGTTCCGCTCTTTTATGTCATCATTTCTTCCATTTGCTTTTGCTACTCTACATTCCAGAGCAAGTTTCAGAGTCTCTTCTGACATCCATTTTGTTTCCTGTCTTTTTAATGACCTTTTGCTTTCTTCGTGTGTGAAGTCCTTGATGTCATCCACAACTTATCTGTTGTTAGTGTTCAACATGTCAGATCTATTCTTGAGATGGTCTCTAATCAGGTAGGATATACTCAAGCTTCAACTTGAACAACTGATGAGCAACTGATGGCGTTTTCCACACTTGGCTCTTGGCCTTGTTCTGACTGATGATACTGAGCTTTCCCATCATCTCTTTCTACAGATGTAGTCGATTTGATTCCTGTGTATTCCATCAGGTGAGGTCCACATGTATAGTCACCATTTATGTTGTTGAAAAAAAGGTATTTGCAATGAAGAAGTCGTTGATCTTGCAAAATTCTGTCATACAATCTCTGGCGTAGTTTCTGTCACCAAGGCCATGTTTTCCAACTACAGATCCGTGTTTGTTTTCATCTTTCACATTCCAATCGCCAGTAATTATCAATGCATCTTGATTGCATCTTTGGTCAATTTCAGACTGCAGAAGTTGGTAAAAATCTTCCATTTCTTCTTCTTTGGCATTAGTGGTTGGTGCGTAAATTGGAATAATAGTTGTATTAACTAGTCTTCCTTGTAGGTGTATGGATATTATCCTATTACTGACAGCATTGTGCTTCAGGATAGATCTTGAAATGTTCTTTTTGATGATGAATGCAACGTCATCCCTCTTGAATTTGTCATTACCAGCATAGTAGACCATATGATCGTCCAGTTCACAATGGCCAATACCAGTCTATTTCAGCTCACTAATCCAAACCTGTGATCACTGAGTGGATTCCAACTCATAGCAACCCTATAGGACGGAGTAGAACTGCCCCATAGGGTTTATAAGGTGGTAATCTTTACAGAAGCATACTGCCACATCTTTCTCCTGCGGAGCGGCTGATGGGTTCGAACTGCCAGCCTTCTGGTTAGCAGCCAAGCGCTTAACCACTGCACCACCAGGGCTCGCTTTCAGCACACTAATGCCTAGGATATCTATCTTTATGTGTTCCATAGCATTTTTGACAACTTCCGATTTTCCTAGATTCATACTTCATACATTCCATGTTCTGATTATTAATGGATGTTTGCAGCAGCTGCTTCTCATTTTGAGTCATGCCATATCAGCATGAAGGTCCTGAAAGCTTTACTCCATCCATGTCATTAAGGTCGACTCTACTTTGAGGAGACAGCTCTTCCCTAGTTGTATTTTGAGTGCCTTCCAAGCTGAGGGGCTCATCTTCTGGCACTACATCAGACAATGTTCCACTCTTCTTCGTAAGGTTTTCACTGGCCAGTTTTTTCAGAAGTAGACCACCAAGTCCTTCTTCCTGGTCTGTCTTAGTCTGGAAGCTTCTCTGAAACCTGTCCACTGTGGATGACTCTGCTGGTATTTGAAATACTGGTGGCACAGCTTTCAGCATCCCAGCAACACACGAGCTACAACAGTATGACAAACTGACAGACGTGATGGATGAGGTATCTGGAATAGGCAAATTCATAGAGACAGAAAGTAGAATAATGGTTACCAGGGGCAGAGGGAAGGAGGAGTTATTGCTTAATGGGTCAGAGTTTCTGTTTGGAATGATGAAAATGTTCTGGAAATAGTGGTGATTGTTATACGACATTGTGAATGTTATTAATGTCACTGAATTATACACTTAAAAATGGTTAAAATGGCAGATCTTATTTTACATGTATCTTACCACAATAAAATTAAAAAACCAAAACACAGTGAGATACCACTTCACATCTACTGGGATGGGATGGCTATAATAACAAAAATGAAAAATAACAGTGGTGCAAAGGTATAGAGAAATAGGAACCACTGTACATTGCTAGTGGGAATGTAAAATGGTGCCAGTGCTCTGGAAAACAGGCCATTCCTTAAAAATTACCATATGATCCAGAAATTCCAATTCTAGGTACATACCCAAGAGAAAAGAAGACATATGTTCCCGTAGAAACTTGTATATGAATGTTTATAGCAGCACTATTGATAGTAGCCGAAAGGTGGAAACAATCCAGTGTCCGTCAGTGGATGAACAGATAAACAAATGGTGGTATATACATACAATGAAATAATTCAGCCATAAAAAGGAATGAAATAGGGATGCGTGCTACAACTCTAATGAACCTCGAAAACATTATGCTGGTTAAAAGAAACTAGACACAAAAAGTCACGTATGATTCCTTTTATATGAAATATCCAGATTAGGCAGAGCTGTAGAGACAAAAAGGCAGATTAGTGGTGCCAGGGCATAGGGAATAATTACTTAATGGATATGAGGTGTCCTTCTAGAGTGAGATGATGAAAAGTTTTGAAAACAGAGGTGTTGGTTGCACAACACTGAAGGCACTAAATGCCACTGAATTGTACCCTTTAAAATGGTTGATTGTGTATTATCTGAATTTCACCTCAAAAAAAAAAAAACTCCGTCATATTGATATATCACATTTTATTTCTCCATTCATGAGTTGGTGGACATTTGGATTATTTCCACTTTTTGTCTATTATGGTTAATGCTGCTATGAACATTTGTGTACAAGTTTTTGTGAGGCCATGTTTTCCTGTCTCTTGGGTATTACCTAGAGTGGAATTTCTGGGTCCTGTGGTTAACTCTGTGTTTAATTTTTTGAAGAACTGCCAGACTTCATAGTGGCTATACCATTTTACATTCCCACCAGCAGTATATGAGGGTTCTGATTTCTTTCTGTCCTTGCCAAAACTTGTTAACTTGTTATTATCTGTCTTTTTAATTATAGCCATCCTTATGGGTATGAAAAACCAGTTGACATCAAGTCAACTCTGACTTATGGCTACTTCACGTGTGTCAGAGTAGAACTGTGCTCCATAGGGTTTTCAGTGGGTGATTGTTTGGAAGTAGATCTGAGGAGCCTCTGGTACTCGAACCTCCAACCTTTTGGTTAGCAGTGGAGAGCATTAACCATTGAGGGTGTGAAGTAATATTGTGATTTTGATTTGCATTTCTCTGATGGCTAATGCTACTTAATAGATTTTGAAGCTGTCATTAAAGATTTCAATCCTCAGAAATGATTTTTTGTTGTTGTTATTTATTTAGTATTAATTTATTTGTTCTTCTTTCAAAACTTCATTTTCTCTTAATTGGGGACCAATTGCAAAATATTAAGTTGCAAAATTAAGTTGAGACCTTTGATGAAGAGAATGTTTCTTATGAGAGAAACAGTCCCATTGTTACCCATATGTAACCCCCATGGGCTAGTTAAAATATATTACGCCCATAGAGTTGTTAGAACTCCGTGTGCATTTTTATCAGTTCTGACCTAGTAGTTCCATACTTTTATACAGTAAAAAATGTATTCAAAAATGAATACAAATATATTTGAGGGTCTGTTGGTGGACAGGAAGGGGTTACTATTTCAGAAAATAGCCTGAGTCTAAATAATTCTTTCAGATGTCTTGAAGTTTCTATACCCTAGACTTTCTCTGTTTTGAATTTTAACTTGGAAAGGACACGGAATAATGTTTCAGTTTTTCTTTCCTGATATCCCTTTCCTTTGATATTTTTCCCTTGCTATTCTTTAAGGACCTTTTTTGGATTAAAAACCCATTGCCATTGAGTCGATTCCGACTCATAGTGACCTTATAGGACAGAGTAGAACTGCCCTATAGGGTTTCTAAGGCTGTAAACCTTTTCTTTCTCCCACAGAGCAGCTGGTGGCTTCGAATTGCCAACCTTTTGGTTAGCAGCCGAGCTCTTAACTAGTGCACCACCAGGGCTCTTAGCAAATTAAATTAACTCAAGGAGCTAAAGTGCAGATTTGCTGCATCTTTGTATAAAGTATCTATCTGTAAGGCTACCACTGATTATAACTAAAGGAGTCTTTCTCATTTTGGAGGAGTTCTTAAATCAACCCAAAATATAGTTGCTAGCATTTTTTACTAGTTAATGTATTAACTTTTGTGTATTTTTATATATTTAAAATTGCATGCAGTTTGTACAGAGTCTTGAGTGTTTAGACCTCAGTGAACCTTTGGAGAGCACCTAGTTTTGATGCCTAACTTTGTAAATGAAGAACTGAGGTCCATAAAGGAGACAGTTTGCCTAAGAGTATAGCTCATTACATAGTTGACACACGGTGAATACTTGGAGAATGTTGAATAAAATGAATAAATGGGTATTGAATGAGTTGATGACAGAGCTGGAAGTAGAAATCATGTCTCTTGACTCATGTTGTTGTTGTTAGGTGCTGTCAAGTGGGTTCCTATTCATAGCGACCCTACAGTACAATAGAATGAAACACTGCCTGGTCCTACACCATCCTCACAATCGTTGCTATGTTTGAGCCCATTGTTGCAGCCACTGTGTCAGTCCATCTCGTTGACGGCCTTGGTTCATAGCCTGATGTTTTTCCTGCCACATGTCACTCTGCCACTATATGAAGATAGTGATAACTAGACCTGTAGAAGTCTAAGAAAAAACAGACAGATAAATAACCCAAGCTGCTTTTCTAACATTATATTTGGAATATTTACAGCTGAAGGCAGATACAATCTTTACACACCGGATGGCAAATATATCTTCAAGGAAAGAGAATCATTTGATGGCCGGAACATTTTAAAGGTCAGTGTGAAGCAGAGTGAATTGGAAATCCTTTGGCATGTATCCTAAAGAAGGGCAGAAAATAAGTCATCCTCCTTCTAACAACAGAGTATATTTTCCTTGCGTTTCCCAAGAGGATTATTGATTGACAGGGCTGTTAATTCTTTTTTTTTTCTTCCAATCTTCAATAAGAAAAGAGAAATCCTCTTGACTCTATTAAGGTTGTGGTCCTCTAGAGTACTTGAAATTGATGATTTAAGAAACAATTAGGTATCCCAATTACTCAGATCCATAGCAATAAAGTGATTTTAACCTGGTGAGTTTTATTTTGTATTTTACCTCTAGAAGGTTGAGTTTGCATTTTTTCAAGTGAAAACAAATTGTTTGTTTTATTCTAGTAGATTTTTCTCTTCAACCACAAAGTCACTTTACAAAGTTGCTTTATAATCTATTTTTGCTCAAGAACAGCCCGTGTCCTAAGTAGTAGGTGGCCCATTTCTGACTGTTGAGGCTTTGCTTTTGTGAGTGTTGAGCTAACCTATGAAACTGAAATAAAAGGAGTATTTCTGGATTGTGTTTATCTTTCTCCCACAGACCACATTCTGTAATATCCAAAAGTTATGCCTTCTTTATCAGGTTAACATGCCATTGTGCCTCTGGGCAAAGAGAAACAAGCTGATATCATTGGAGAGGTTTTTGATTCTTCATTTCAATTGTCCTGTAATGGGTTAGGTCAAACATTTTCAAGGCCAGGGGTGTTTTTGGAGCTGGGAGAGAGTAAGAATATAATAACTTTAGAATAAGCTTCAGCTTTAGAAATGCGTTTTCCTTCCCTACCCCATCCTCCATTCCCTTATCCCATCACTTGACAGTTTTCTTGCCAAATGCCTAATGTGATGTCATTGTCTGTAATTAATTGAGCTTCTTACCACAGAGCCCAACATGGCAGTGACAGCCATTCACTGGGGCAGACATACCAGCCCCCACGTTGCATGCAGTTCCTTCCTTTCCTTGGTATCCTATAAAGTAATTTTTCTTGTTTTCAAAGTAGTTTTGATAGCTTTGGATTTGGATGGCAGACTGCTAATGAATTCAGTTGCAGTTAATGTTACTGATTTTCCCAGACCACAGCTTCAGTGTCATACGAGAATAAGAACTTTCTTCTCCTCCATCTCCCTCCCCTGCAGCTTTTCTAATAATATCATTAATTAGTTTGCTTTTTTGTCATTGTTACTTTGATTCAGAAAGACAGTAGTCTGAATGGGGAAAGAAATCTGTGGGAATGACTCAAAGCCAGTTTGGTTCTCTTGGAATTAGAATTAAAGCCCAAAAGGTACAGCTCAGGTATGAAGTGCTTTGACATCTGGTAGAGAGAGGTGATGGCAGAGAGCCTGTGGAGTGGCTGTGTGAACAGTATGATCTCTCACTTGATATTTAGTTTGTCTCATTCTTGAAAATCAGTTTTCCATTTCAAGATGCTTTGCCTTGAGGTGCTCTGAGCCGCCCTGGTGATGACATGAATGTAGCTCCCTCTAGTGTTGGCGAGGGCTTGCTATGTCAGTAGTACTCACACTGGTTCATGCCTAGTCAGAGTGTTAGCACTGGGCCCAGCAAGGCAGTTGGAGACTGTTTGGTGTCAGCAGGGCACTCAATTCCCCACTTTAATCTCTGAGGACACAAGATCCAAAGTGGTTATAGTAACTCACCAGCGGTTTCCCAGCTGGTTAGTAGCAGAGTCTGAATCAGAGCAAAAAGACTCACAACTTGCAAATTTAGCATTGTTTTTGCTGCCTCCCATAAAGGTGTTTAATGTTTAGGCAGAGTTCATTAGACATTTGAAATTGGGCGTATCTGTCTGGACTTATGTAATGTCTAATTAGAACTCATTTCATAAATGTTAGGGCAGTGGGAGTACCAGTTAGTCTAAAACTGTGGCTAATTAAGAATTAGACTTTTGAGTTAAATATAATACCAACAGCAACAGAAATACTTATTGTCTGTATATCACCTGCCAGGACATGTACCCTGGAGATAAGCAGTCGTTGTGATACCATCTTTGCCTTCCAGGAGCTTCCTGTCTTTGAGGCTGCAGATGGTTGATAGGCAATTACAATACAAAGTGAAGGCAGCGAGTTAGGAGTACAGACGAGAATGCCTGTGAACACAGTTATGACAAAGTGTCCCTTGGTATATAGTTTCTGCTATTCTACTCTTTAATTGTTAGCTCCACAAAATATCATCTTTTACCTTTTTCAATCAGGGAAATTAACTTTTCTTTGAGAATAAAAGGTAGATTGTGGGCTGCAACAATTACCCCCCGTCCCCCTGCCACACACACACACAGGAGGCAAAAACTGTATTTGTGAAGCAGCTGTAATCAGCCCACCATTTGGAATTACCACAAACGGGCATGTCTTGCTCAGTGAGAACATGAGAACCTACGGCCCCTGAAACTCTTGACATAAAAATAGGATTCAGAAAATCAGTAGATTATATATAGTTTTTGTACCAAATAAAATTATTATGTACAGAAAGAAAAAAAAAAAGAATTTCACTAACAAGATGGGGACTGACTTGGAGTAAACAGAAAGGTTAAGTGCATTGGTTGTTAAGGAGCCCAAGCATATGTGTGTAGCATATTAATAGTTACACAGGTCAAGGATCAGGAATGCTGGTGATGGGAAACAGTGTTAGAGAAAAACATCATTTTCATCTACTATTCAAAGAAACAAAGCGAGAAAGAAAGTCATTGCTCATTGCTGTAAGAATCTAATGAGTAACAGCCAGTTGCTATTCTACTCCATGAAGAGGCTTGGTCATTTTGGCTCAGTGTAATGTTATGTGTTCTGGGTACCTTAATAAGAAAAAGAAATCTCTAATGACCTGGAGGTGGAAGCCACATTTTTCTTTTGTACAGCTCTTTTGAGAGTTGTTGCAGCTGTAATAGACTAGTGTCTGGTAATTCCTAGTTAAAATAAGAATTTTATTACCCAAAAAGGACTGCAAGAAGAACTGACAAGTAAAGAATCATTTTCCTGTTGCTTGCAAGCCAGAAAAGGAACCAAAGTATTTAGTTATAGTAGTTTTTTTCTGGAAAACTGACAGATAGCTCTGAAGGAGGATGTATGAGTGAAGACCCAGGCCAAATTAATAGGATAGCATCCCCTCAGAGAGTTTCCATTTCCAATCTAAGAGATAGCAGCAGAGATGCTGTTTGTATATCCGTAAGGCAATGATAAACTTGTAATTGAAGACATCATGCTGACCTAAAGACATACCACCAGGAAATAACTGCTCCCTCACTAGCTAGACATAGAATGATCGTTAACTGTCAGCTTCTGGAGAGAGAAGTGGTCTTAATGACAATCCATTTGGGGGACTTATGACATGGCCTTAAGCAACAGAATCAATATTCCAAGATTGTGCTATCAGCAGATGGAACTGGGGTACAATATTAACTGTGCAAAAGCATAGCTCCTAACTGCAGAGTGAAGAGGAGAGATTAGAGCCCTAGATTGTACTCCCCAGAGGGGGTGATTTGGTACAAATCAAGGCCTAGTGATATATGTGGGAAGGAATAGAAAGTATTATAGGTCCAAAATCAAAGGGTACCATAGCAATGCCATTTCTCTAGACACTCTAAAAAAATTCTTGGAAAATATAATCCAAGTAAAAGGGAGATGAATTTGTGCTTTTTCCATTTTATATCTGAGAATCTTTAAATTTAGAGGAAGAGAGGATTGGCAATAGTAAATAACTGTATTGATCTTTAGTATTTTCCCTGAAAATATGTTTTAAATCTATCTAGCCACACTGAGACTTTTCTTGAAAGACGTAAATGAGAGTAATTCAAGTATTTCATTCATTCGTTTTTTGCTTTTGCCCTATCTCTGCCCCTAAAGTCTTAGAGTTATAATGAATTAATTTAAATGAGATCTTTACTTAGTTTGCTTTACCTAGAGAAATTTTAATAAAGGAAGCTTTTAAAAATACATACTATTTATTCTTTTTGATGAAATATATATATAGAAAAGTGTATAAAACATATGTATACTGTTAAACAGATAATTATAAAGTGAACATTGTAACTGCTGTTCAGCTGCTGTTAAGTCTGCTCCAAATCATGTTGACCTTATGTATAACAGAACAAAACATTGCCTGGTCCCATGCCATCTTGATGATCACTGGTTTGCTTGAGTCCATTATTGCAGCAACTACCAAGGTCAAAAAGTGGAACCTGCTTCCCATGTCCCTCCTTGGCCAACTCTTTAGTCTGTCCTAAGGTAACAATGGCACAATTAAGTTCTTAAACATGCTCAGTGAAGAGACTTATTTTGAATGATTAGTTTGTTTCCAAGTATTAGAAGAGTATTAAAAAGATGAATTAATGTTTTATTTTTTCTAGGGAAGAGAGGTGAGATTTAAAATGGTGTGGTAACTTTTTCTTTTAAAGATATTAATGACCACAAGGAAGATTAGAATTTAAAAAGTGTATTATTTCTCTTGAAATAGAACATTATTTTTTTTTTTTTGTATTACCCAGTTCAATATTCAGCCATATTATATACTGTTCTTAGGAGTTACTTCTTGGTCATTTGGCTCTCCTTTAGATTTTTTTCTCAAAATTCAACTTTTTTAGAGGAAACCCCGGTGGCACAGTTGTTAAGAGCTATGGCTGCTAGCCAGAAAGTCAGCAGTTCAAATCCACCAGCCACTCCTTGGAAACTCTATGGGGTAGTTCTACTCTGTTCTATAAAGTTGCTGTGAATCAGAATTGACTCAACGGCAATGGGTTTCTTGAATGTCTATCACTAAATGTTCCATTCTACTGTTATATCAAGATAAATAGCAGCAGATTGAATTTAGAATAAAGTCACTATTTGTCATTTTCACAAGTAGCTGTGGTGTCATTTTTAATACTTTTTTTTTTAATTGTACTTCAGGTGAAGGTTTACAGAACAAACTAGTTTCTCATTAAACAGTTAGTACACATATTGTTTTATGACATTGGTTAACAACCC